TTTATTTTGGCCACAACCCCAGAAACGTCTAATGACCGGTCTCGCTGAGACACCTGTATACATATGTTGTTTTTTTTTGCAATAAACTTACCGATTTTAAAAGCAAAATCGGTTATTTTAATTTAACAATGCGCCATTTTGTCAATATTTTTTTTTTGCTTAATTCTAGTTCAGATGATAATCACATGTATATAGAAGAGAACACCATTTGATTTTTCTGTTTCAGATCATCTCAAGGTCCTTACCACCTATTAGTGGGCGTTCAAGCTTTCATGATGGGCGGTAGTGAAACAATCAACTGCCAGAGAACCACAGAACATACGGAATGGATACAAAAACAAAAAGAAAATTTTCCTAACAATTTCTTATATTCCGGGAAAATCGTTTTTCTTCAAACAATCGCAAATTTTGGCCTGTTCGGGGTTCCTAATCGATTTAACTTGAATGGCATCGTATTCCTAATCTCCTCTTGCTTCAGATCCAAAAAGAAAATTTTCGTAGCCATTTCTTATATTCCGGGAAAATCGTTTTTCTTCAAACAATCGCCAATCCAACAATCAATTGGACTATTGTTTATAATAAGTTTGTGCTTTTCTAGTTTCAGTAGTCATTAGATCAAAAAATAAAACTTGCCGATCTTCAACATTTGCTACCATTATCATCCAATGACTACTACGTAATATAGGGAAAAGTATTTTTGGAATTTCGACATTTCGGACATTGTCGTTATGGTCAAAGGAACCTGTTTGCCAAGGATATCTAAAGTTCTACAGGTGACCCTAGATACCATGTATGTATGTAAGCGTGGAGTGCGTAATTTTTTACGCTCGCACTTAGGCCCCAGTGGGCCCCTTGTGCATTCTCCCTTGGAGGCTTGAGGTGGTATGAGAAGGTATCTCGTTATGTGACGATACCGCTTACTCGTTGCCAATGACGAGTTACCGCCGCCCCAACCCCCCGACCCGCACTTCATCTCGGCCGCAGCCTGGCGGAGCGCACGGCTAGCTCAACGTCCTGGCGGAGGAGCGCAACGGCTCACTCAACGACCTGGTGGAGCGCACAGCTAGCTCAACGTCCTGGCAGAGCGCACGACTCGCTCAACGGCCTGGCGCAGGTCCGATCAGCGTGGGGTCAGAGAGCGTATTTGTGGAAAAAATTGGGGTCTTACCCCTGAAAGAGTGTACTGGCTCTGGTGGTTAGACCTATGATCACATACAGAGCAGCAGCTTGGTATAGGAAAGTCCGACAGACTTCAGTAAACTTTCATGAATTCAACGAGTAGCTGAATTGGCAATCTCTGGTGCGATAAGCACAACGCCAACTCTAGCAATGGAGGTTCTGCTTGGCCTTTCTCCTCTGCATTTGCATATAGAGAAAGTGGCTAGAACAACCATTTACAGATTTAAGCAATATGCTCAAAACTGTTTCGACATGTCCTACCAATGGGCTGCGGAAGACATTATAAGCACTGATACTGTGCTATCAATGCCGTCAGATCTGGCGGTATCACCATCAGTGATTAATGCTCGATACCAGATTGTACTGCCTGAGCGACAGTCCTGGATCGAAAACGAAAATTCTCTGGTTCAGGCAGATATTTGCGTGTTAGATGGATCTAAAACGCCGGAAGGGGTCGGAGCAGGAGTATACTGTCAGACACCTCGAATTAAGCAAGCCTACAGCCTGGGTATGTACACTTTGTACAAATTGTGCTGACCATCTACTATTTAGGCGATGTGTCCTTACTTGTAAGGACAACAATGTGGCATCAACACGATGGGTGTCCTTCACATTTTGCAGTTGTTGCACGTAGAGTAATTGACCAGCGTTATCCCATGCGTTGGATTGCTCGTGGGGGTCCAGTGGAATCGCCACCTCGATTACCAGATTTAACTCTACTGGATTTTTTCCTGTGGAGCCGAATTAAAGAAATAGTCTACATGGAACCGCCTACAACAAGGGGGAATATGAAACTCCGAATTCGTCGTGCAGTTAATGCTGTAAAGAGGCGAGCAAGAAGGTATGTGGCTGTTGATGGCAACGTTTTTGAACGTTAAATTTTCTTTACGTTCGTTTTTGTTCTTAAAATTTTAAATTGGTGCTTAAAAAATCATGGTTATTGTTTGTTCCGATTGCTATTTAATTGTTTAACATGTTTAGTTATCATTACTGTAATCATCAATAGCACTTAAACGTTGCATTAAATCTAAGAAGAGTTAAAGCAAAAGTTGTTTATTTTTAAAATATCTATTCTACGATAAAACTTAATTCATATGACAACTTGAAAAATTTTTAAGTTGATGTCATTACCACCAACTTCCGGTGTTACCAGCGTGATAAAAACTGGTGCATTGGATTCTTCATATACGATTTTATTATCATATTTTTTTATTGCAACTTCTTAAGTAATCGCAAGAGGATGTCCCCAAGGGGGAGTGCTATCACCTCTATTATGGTGCCTGGTAGTTGATGACTTGATGAACATCCTAACTAAAAACGGATTTAAGATACAAGGGTATGCTGATGACCTGGTAATCACAATCCGAGGTAAATATGATTCAATCATAACTCAGCTAATGCAGAAAGCCCTACTACTCACCAGTACTTGGTGCAGAAGCAATGGGCTCAGCATCAATCCCAATAAAATCGAAATAGTCCCTTTCACTCGGAGAAGGAAGCTACAAATAAAAGCACCCTCCATTGAAAGCAGAACTATTAACCTCAAAACAGAAACTAAATACCTAGGGGTAATACTTGACAGTAAACTAAACTGGAACTCACACTTAGATAAGGTGAGGAAAAAGGCCATCATGGCAAACCAGATCTGCCGCAGGCTCCTAGGAAGGAACTGGGGTCTCAAACCACGAATGGCTCATTGGGCCTACGTAGCAATAATCAGACCCATGGTCGCCTACGCCTCATTGGTTTGGTGGCCAAAAACAAAACATAAGACAGCTCAACAACAGCTGGCACAAATCCAGCGGTTAGCATGTCTTAACATAACGGGTGCAATGAGATCCTGTCCGACGGCTGCTTTGGAAGCCCTACTCGGTCTCACACCGCTCCACATATATATACAAAAGGAGGCAGCCTTAAGTGCCTTATCACTGAAAACAGTTTCTTCACTCAAGTTGATGCAGGGTAATCTCAGAGGACACCTCGAGATCCTCAAAGACCCATGTCTAAATCACCTGATTGAAATTAAAACGGACCTTATACCGACGGAATACAATTTCAACCAACCGTATAAGGTCATATTTAGTAGCAGGGATGATTGGGCGAAAGGAGGGCCTCAACTAAAAAGAGGAGCCCTAGCCTGGTACACCGATGCTTCAAAGACAGTAAGATCTGGAGTAGGCATGGGCATCAGTGGACCAAATAGCCACATCAAATTGCCCCTCAGCTCGGACTTAACAATTTTCCAAGCAGAAGTTCTTGCTATAAACTTCTGCACCGCTTTGAACCTACAGAAGGGACAAAAAGGTGCATCCATAAACATTTTCACAGACAGTCGGGCCGCCTTAAAGGCAATTCAGGCCTACACGTGTGGCTCCGCACTGATCAGAGAGTGCACCAACAACCTGAGAGAACTCGCTAGGGGCAATGATGTTACCCTATGGTGGGTTCCAGGTCACAGCAACATTGAGGGCAATGAGAAGGCCGACAAGCTGGCCAAAGAGGCAGCAAACACGCCCTTCATTGGACCCCAACCTGGATGTGGACTACAAAAAAGCCACCTAAAACAAATAATCAACAACTGGGAGGCTTCAAAGATAGCCTTACGCTGGAAAGAACTTCCAGGTCACAGACAAGCGAAGAGTATGATAACTCCGTCGCAAAACAAAACCAAAGAGGTTTTATGCCTCAGCAAAGGGGATCTAAGAACGCTCTCAGGCTACCTAACCGGCCATGTGCCCCTAAAATACCACCTCTTCCACATTGGACAAGCTGAGGATCAAACTTGTCGACTATGCAACGACGAGTCAGAAACTGCTGAACATATACTGTGCAATTGCGTCGCCAGAGGACGTCTAAGGCACAACGTCTTCGGTAAAACTCCCCTGTTACCTACCGACATAAAGGTTCAAGACCTCAGGACAATACTAAGGTTCATTAAGGACCTACATTTGCCCTAAACCTTTGGAGGGCTAAAGTTACAATAGATCTTATAGGTCGCGGTAACGAGAGGGGCCGCCCTCCTCAGCCCGGCTGCAATAATAATAATAATAATAAGTAATCGCGTTTTTGAGAAAAATCCCTGGTACGGGTGGTCTGAAACACCCGGTATAGTTAATGCAATGTAATGTAACCCCGAACAGGCCAAAATTTGCGATTGTTTGAAGAAAATCGATTTTTCCGGAATATAAGAAATGGTTAGGAAAATTTTCTTTTCGAATCTGAAGCAAGAGACCACGAGGAATACGAAGCCGTTAAAATTAGATCGATTAAAAACCCCGAACGGGCCGAATTTTGCTTATGTTTGAAGAAAATCGATTTTTCCAGAATATAGGAAATGGTTAGGAAAATTTTCTTTTCCAATCTGAAGCAAAAACACCAGGAATACGATGCCGTTGAAATTAGATCGATTAAAAACCCCGAACGGGCCGAATTTTGCGAAAGTTTGCAGAAAATCGATTTTTCCGGACTATAGGAAATGGTTAGGAAAATTTTCTTTTCGAATTTGAAACAAGAGGCGACCATGAATACTATGCCATTGAAATTAGATCGATTAAAAACCCTGATCACGCATTTTTTTCTGTTTAAAATCTATGGCCAACTTCACACGCGTCTTTACTGCTGCCTTATGCTCCACCATAAGACAAGTAAGTCAACTAACTCACAATATTTCCATATCAACATTTAAGTGTTTTGCTATTAAAATCTATGACCTTAAAAAGGTTCAGAAAAAGGATTGAATTCCATATATTGATAAGAAATAAAATATTAACAAAAAAAATAAACAAACAACAATTTAATATATTTAAAAATACTCAACTTACCCTAGCTTCTTGATCACCAATTAAACAAACCGCTCTAATAGAGGGACACCATTTACCAAATTCATTCATCCAATTTTGCAGTGTTGATTTAGGAACGATGACTATGTGCGGTCCACCAATACTTTTGTAGTGTTTCATAAATCCGAGCAACGAGATCGTTTGTAACGTTTTACCAAGACCCATCTCATCGGCCAATATTCCGTTGATGCCATTTTCATAAAGAGAGATCATCCAATTAAGGCCCCTTACCTGATAATCACGCATTTCGCCACCTTTTATATAGGGCGGCGATATATCAAACCGTATCGTGTTTTTACTTTTAGTGTTTGACTCAGCCAAAAGTTCTTCATCCTCTTCTTGTTCTGTTTTACGATGTCTGTGACTATAACGATAAATATGTATATATAAACAGAGTCTTCAACAATGATTTTAAGGTGTTTAAATTTATTGCTTCAAAACATTAATAAGTGGGCCAAATTCAAACGCTTTATAATCATTGTTGAATACTCTGATTAAGTATAAATTAAATGATACAAAAGTAGTAGTAATAATAATAATAAAATTCATGTTTTGATATCTTACTCTCCAAGAGAATCGTCCGGTTTAGGTTTTTTTGGTCTTCCTGTTTTAGGTTTCTCTTTTCCTTTTGCATTTTGACTTGTCATGAAGTGAGAAAAAATTTCGGTTTGTTTTAAAAGATAATCAAACCTTTTGCTGCGGTCAGTTTCGATTTTAGTTTCGAAATCTTCTTTACCCCTTGAGGATAATGTATCGGAAGTAGATTCGTTCTGTTACACAAAGTGATGTTACGTTAGTTGATTTAAACAATTTTATAATAAATAAATAAAACGGTTAGCCTACTAAGAATTATAAAATAACAACAATTGTAATCTATTAAAAGCGCATTTTTTATTGCACTTACCGAATTTTCACCGGTATCCGGTACTTCACTACCTTCTTCCTCTGTTTTAGACATGTTTCTAAAGAGTTTTAATGAGTTTAAGTCAAGTTTTGAAGAAAAATGTTTGTAAAACACGATTTGTATTAGATGGTAGTTACGGCTTTATGGTTGACATTTAACTGACATTTTCGGCGAATTGCCGCTATCCAATACCAACTTAAAAAGTATCGAACAAATTTATAACATTTATTATTAATTTATTTAAAATGTTGCATTATTTAGCTCAATATTACATTTGAATGAGTAATTTGAATCATTTTCTAAATTAAAAAGCACAATTTCTTTTCGTAAATTTTTTTTTTAATTTTTATTCAAAATATTTAAACAAAATAAACTCAAATACCACTCAACAATAAAATATTATTTAAAATAAAATAGATTTAATTTTATTCATACGATTATTTTCAATAAAATCTTGTTAAAGTGATTTTTATTATTCTAAGGTTGGTATTATTATCATTCCGATATAACCATACGGTTTGAAAACTACCCACAAAAAACGTTTTAGATCGCATTTATAAGACGTAGTAAGAAAATGGATCAAAATTACACACCGATAATAAAAGTACCTTCTAGGGTAGTGAAAAGTGAACCGAAAAAAACGAAAAGAAGATGTATGCTTGATTTTTCCTTGCCAAGAGTTGCAACAAAAACTGTTGGGGAAGAAATCGAGGACAACGTGGATTCCCGTTTAGGAAGTAAAAAGTATCCGAAAACTCCAGAACGGTTATTATTATCAACCCCAAAATGTGCAAGTACACCCGGTAAAAGGAAATCGAGCTGGAATGATGATCATAATAGAGTTAAACGAGCGAAAACTACTGAAAATAATTCGATTGTACGTTTTAATTAAAAAAAAAACTTTATTATTACCTAAATAATTCATTTTATGCTTTTTTAAGGTACCTTTATATGAAGATTATCAATTATTAGGTGATAGTCAACTTATGAGATTTTCCGAACAATTATTATCATTTAAATCACTATATTCTGGTAATTAAAATTTTTTAAATTAAAATTAATTAAAATAGTAAACTTTCAGATGGTATAAGACGTATTGGTTACTGTGTAAGTGGTCAAAAAATAGATGAATTAAAGAAACGATTATTAAAAGGAGAATTTGAGATTCATAAAAATGTTATACTTTTAATTGGGACTAATGATTTTATTCAAGTAATTTTTAAACCTGATTTTGAAGTATAAATTTAATCATAACTTTTTTTTGTAGAAGACAGATTATCAAGTTATGTGTTCATCTTATACCCAACTACTCCAGTTTTTGAAATTAAAATGTTCCAAAATCATTTTAATGACTGTTCCTCCAGTAGCTAAATTTGAGAGTGATAAAAAACATTGGAAATTATTGCAGCAATTTAACCAGTTTATTGGCAGTTTCATAGATGGTATCTTTATTTATTTATTTTTTTTAATTTAACTTTACATCTCAAATGATAATTTCAAAATAAATGTAATTCATACAAAAATTGATATTTATGAGTTGAGATGAAATTTATAATTTTTCAATAATTGTAAAATTAACCAAAATTAGGTAGATGTTTAATGTTACACAAATGTTATGGATTTTATTCTACACCTTTTACTGAATATGAAGTTTTTGTTTACTAAAAATGGTGTATATGAGTATACAACATTATTTTCTGTTAGTTAAAAGCAAATATTAACAGAGAGAGAATATATCTTTATTTGGCTATGGTAGTCTTCTATCCAGGATTTTTGTTGTTGTTTCTAAATAATTCAATCAATATCTGTTCAATGTCTTTCTGTTATTGGTGTTATGTTTGTCCATTCATATAGCTTTTTATTTTGAATATTGTGTAGTGGATTATTCGAATGGCGCATCTTTGCAATGGTACCTTGTTTAGCGCGGTAGATCCGTTCCTGGAGATAGGATCGTTAAACCAAACAGCGTTATATGAGGTTATTTTAACAGCTAGTAAATAGGGAAACGGGAAGATGCGACCAAAAATAACCAAATTTTACTTTAATTTTAAACTGTAATACCTAGTAATTTGCATTTTATATAATATTTTATACAGGGTGTATTTAAATTGATGCGAAAGATTTTAAGGGGTGATTTTTCAATGAAAATTATCTTTGATGAAATTGTCTTTCATATAACTTTATGGTCCTTGAAGTTATAGCTCTCTAAAGTTAAGGGTAAAAAATCTGCAACTTTCTTATCTCTTGATGTTTTACAACTAACAAACTGTTAGTTTGATCACAAAAAATAAAATAATGCTGAGATCAATTTGACATAACTTCATTTCTTTGACTAATCATATGTTATAATAACCAATCTCTGAATTAATTTACCTGAGCCTGTGTATTATTTTATTTTTTGATCAAACTAACAATTTTAGGAGAAAATGTATAACACAAACATTTGCACAAATATATATAAAGTTTATATTTGTGATGAAGGTGCTGACTCTTCTGATACTGTTGATTTTTTGGCGAAGGAATCCATAGAAGTCGCTTTCTTTTTCTTTCATTAAACAAATGTCGGTAGCAGACAATCACATCCAAAACTCCTCTTACACTCCTGTTAAAATTTGGCTCATTCGCTACAATTTAATCTACTATTTCCGTTATCATTTCCAAATTTCTTAAGAAAATCTGTAGTAACTTGTTTTGGTTCATCGTCTTCAGAACCACTGTTTTCGCCTTCTTCAATTCCTTGTTCTGCCAATTCCTGAAGGTCATCGTTGGTAAGGCCTTCACCAGAAACATGCAGTAGCTTCTCAATATCCTGCTCATCTACATCTAGTCCTGCTGTTTCGCCTAGATTGACAATTTGACCAACAGTAGACTCTTCTCGTTGATAATCCTGGGATACCTCCGGTCATATCTTCTTCCACATTCCATTCATGCACTTCTTAGTTAATTCTTGCCAAGTGACCTCGATATTGCCTATGGTATCCAGGATTTTATATTTTTTCCAAAATTACAAAATTGTTTCTTTATCTCCACCTTCTGTTTTATCAATAAGTTGTTGAAATGTGCGACGAAGATAATGTGCCGTCAAATTAGCAATAACTTCCTGGTCCATTGGCTGAATTAACGACGATATAGGTTGATGGGATGTCTTGGTGCGTTATCCAGCAGTAATAGAACTTTTGCTTCAAAATTATTTAGTTCAGAGTAACGTTTTACAGATGAACAAAAATGTGTGATAAACCAATTTTGAAAAATGTCTCTTGTGATCCAAGATTTCTTATTAAAATCCCAAATGATGGGTAAACTAGGGTTTTGGCATGATACACAAGTTGGCGTTACCACTCAGAAGAAGGGTGAAACGGTCTTGTTTCATCTACGTTAAACACCAATTCTGGTGAATAATTTCCTCTTTCAATTATGGCTTTTAACGTTGTAGAAAAAATTGAAGCGGCAGCAGTATCTGCACTCGCTTCTTCTCCGGCGGTTCGAATGTTGTGGAGGTTGCTTCTTTTTTTAAAATTATCGAACCAACCTAGGCTAGCTGTAAAATTTTCACTCTTATCTTCTCTTTCATTTTGAATGTGAATCAAAATATTTATAGCCTTTTGCATGATGGTTTTTTGACTTAGCGGCATGTTGCGTTCGATTTCATCATCAATCCAAATAGAAAGACGTTTTTCCATTTCTTCTAAAATGGAGCGTTCTTGATAGAAATATCTTTGCTGCACTATACGATGTGGTAATAGTTGCTGACAACTTAATTTTGTCTTTGCTTTTTAAAATGGTTCTTATTGTAGAAGTAGACAAATTTAAAGCATTTTAATGTCGGGCGAAATGCTTTTTCGTGTCATTTTTGTTATTATCTTTACACCCACTCATTTTTACAATCTAAAGAAAATAAGGATTAAATTTAAATGCACAAATATTTATTATTTTCTTACACAACAATCTCTATTATTACTAGGTGCATAAACTAATTACGTTTTACGCAGAACGTGAAAGTGTTGAACACTCTGTAATAGCTTACAAAACGTAAATACACCAAACAAGCATAAATTCTGGGAATTGACAGCGTACATATTCGGGAATAATCGTATTATAGAAATCAATGAAATGCTGCAATAATTTGAGTCCGGCTATATTTTGAGCATTTTTAAGGTTTTCAACAAACCACATTATAGCAAATCAGCGTTAATCGAGGTAGCGTTAAACGAGGTCTTATTGTAGTTAGGACATGTTCATAATCCAACAAAACTCTAACTGTTACTTTGTAGATGTGTACAGCCGTTTTAGTGGAAATTTCATTATTCCCATATGTTAAACTTCGAAAGTGTTTTGCTCTTCTTATTGCTTCGAGTTATTTTTCTTTGTAGTGTTTTTTAAGACGTACTTTCTTGTCTAAAATCATACCTAGATATTTGATATTTCCAAAGGTCCTAATTTACCATGTTCTGTTTGGATGTAGGGAGTTCTCTTTGATATTGTGGTAAGGTACTGAGAGCTGGACTTTGGAACTGTTGGGTTGTAGTCTCAATTTGAATAACTAGGCAAGTGTTTCATTGTAAAATGTTTGTATTTCTTCACTAAATTACAATCACTAAATATATCTATTTGTAAGAATTTTTCCCCTCTGCGGCGTCACCTCTACTAACAACAGGTTAATTCCTACTATATTTTTAGATTGGCAATAAAGCATAAGATACAGAATCTGAGAAGATAATCAAAAAATGGAAAGATATTAGGAATCTGTACAAAGTATCAATGTGGGTATACAGGGTGTCTCAGCGAGACCGGTCATTAGACGTTTCTGGGGTTCTGGCCAAACAAAAAATTTGAGAATGCAGACTTAAATATTATCAATTACGTTCTCTTCATCTAAAATATTTTCAGATTTCTAGCACTTCCGTTTATACCGGAAGTCGCCACCTACTTTATTTTTTTAAATGGAACATCCTGTATATTTTTACATATTTGGATTTGTCTGTTTTGAAGGTTTATAAATAACTTTACTTTTTGCAATTTGAACCAGCAACTCTCGAGTTATTCGAATTTTTCTAGAAAAATTTGCTCCAGCGGACATTTGTTCAAAAAATCATAGAACACTCAATTTTTGAGATATCAATTTATGATTCAGAACATGCTTAAACAACATGATGGAGTATGTTTTACTATGGCACGTTAACTTTTCGAAATTTGGAAGCACCACAACTTCATTTTTTTAAATGGCACCCCCCATATTTTATTACTTAGTCGTCTTCGGCGTCTCATTTTACATCTTTTATATTCCATATGTCCTATGCCTAACATTAATAGTTTGAGAAATGATTAGGGTTTTTTGAAAAATGCTTACATATCATATGGATATTAACCTAGTGTACCATGGAAAACAAATGTTTAATGACTTATTGATAAACGTCAAAGTCTAATTTAGGTTGTTTGATGCTTGTGAGTCTAAAACCAGTTAAAATGGATATTAATAACGTAAATAATGTTTATACAAATGAAGAAATCCATAATTTATTTTTTGTGCACGAAAGATTCAATATATCTTTGAAAAGTTTGTTAACGAAATGGTGATATGTTACTATTGGAGAGTGTTTCATGATGGATTGCGTGAATTGTAGCTGAAACTTATTAATGGTTTCACCGTTAATCGGTATCGCTGTGTTGTTTGTGATAAAAATATAAAAATATTGAGGGACGGGGGTTGTCTTTGAAAATTTTTATGATCCACCTCTGATTTAATCTATTTTGTGTCCATTCTTTTGTATTACGTAACAGTTCCGATATTCTATTTTTTGATCACATTTCGTTTTCGTTTCCACAAATAGCGCCAAACTAATCTAAATCTATATAAATTCGGTGTGAGAAAGCAATACCCTAGATTCCAGTGCATTTTAGCATATCCGCCACTATGTTATGTGATTCAGGTGATTTTCTGTTCCATAATTTGTAAACAGCTGTTTCTATTTCGTCCCCTTGAATTCGTGATTCACATTCTCGAACTTGAAACGTTAGATTCTTCTGTGGGTCAGAATCTTCCGCAGGCATGAAGGACTTCCGCGGGCTTTCCAGGAAGAATCTTTAATTGAAAGGTAATAGTGTTTAAAAGTTTTCTGTTGGAGTTGATATGACAACGGCAGAAATGTGGTTAACACTATAATAACACATTATATACACTCAAAACGAGGTCGCTTGCAGCCCCAGCGCCATAGTTGATATGATATCGACATAAAGATGGTCAGCACTGTAAATAAAGCACTATATAAACCCAAAATGCCGACATCGCTTGCGGACGAGACGCTTTAGTTGATATGATATCGACATAAAGATGGCAAGCACTGTAAATAAAGCATTGTATACACCCAAAATGCCGAGATCGCTTGCGGTCGAGGCATTGGAGTTGATATGATATTAGCACACACCTGGTGAACACTATAATAAAGCATTATACGTATACTCAAAACGCCGACGCGGTGGAATTGATATGACATCGACACAAATCTGGTCAACACTGTAACAAAGCATCGTATACATTCAAAACGCCGAGGTCGCTTGCTGCTGAGGCACTGGAGTTGATGTTATATTAACACAAATCTGGTCATATACAGGTGTCCCGAAACTCAACGTCAGGCCGCCACCGGGTGAGAGGTCAACCCATACCTGCTCTGGTAAAAATGAGACAAAAATTCCATGTCTCTTAGTTAAGTGGTAACAGACATACTCTTGAAAATGTTAAAAAACGGTCCCTTACATCATATCTTTAGGTACTACGGTCAGAAATGTTCGCAATTTAATAGTGATTTTTTTAATAATCTATTCCTTGTGAACCATGCTACTGTAGAAGTCAAAAATCAAACAACAAAAGTCCTTAGTTTTGCAAAAAAATATATTAATTTGATTGAGTTAAGGTTGAAAGAATTTAAGTCTATCAAGTTTGACACACCCTTGGCAAGTAATTTTAAAAGATGGCCTGTTTAGTCAAGTTTCCAAACAACACTTGTCATTTTTCTTGTCATAAAAAATGTTATTGCCTGTTTTTCTGCAAAAAACATGTTATTTAAAAAATTCTTACTTTTGTATGTTATTTGTATTTACTTTTTATTTCCTCTTAACTTTGTTAAAAGATGTGCCAGTCAATATCTACGAACTACAAAATGTGGTTTCAACAAGATGGTTGCCCTTATGTCTTGCAAAAAGATTCTTTCAAATAAGGTTAATCTAAAGACAAAATTAAACAAACAAATTTATTTATTATTAATTTTATAGCATTATTTTCTTAAAACTAAGGGAGATGCTCAAATTATTTACCGTCGGCAGTAATACAAGCTCTGCATCGTCACAGAAAAAATCTTTTTACTAGTTGTGCAAATCTCTTTGCATTTATTTCTTCTGGTGCTGTATAAATATTGTGGCTTAGTTCGGCAAGATTTTCAATCGGTTTTTAATACACTGTTTCTTTTATACAATCCTAATAAGAAGGGATTTAGACCCAGAGAATGAGGAGGCCACGTAATCGAACCACGACGCCCAATCCATCTTTCTGTATGTAATCCCATACAGGACAAGCATAATGAGCTGGGGAAGCATCTTGTTGAAACCACATTTCTCTGTAGATAATGAGTGGCACATCTTCTAACAGAGTTATTAAATCATTTTGGAAGAAATACAAATAACATACAAAAGTGTGAATTTTTTAAATAACGCGTTTTTTGCAGAAAAACAGGCATTCATATTTTTTAGGAAAAGAAAAATGGCAAGTGTTATACCATTTTGGAATCTTGACTAAATAGGCCATCTTTTTAAAATAACTTGCAATCGTGTGTCAAACTTAATAGACATAAATTCTTGCAACCTTAATTCTATCAAACTAATACTTTTTTTTGCAAAACTAACGACTTTTGTTGTTCGATTTTTGACTGCTATAGTAGCATGGTCCATTAGGAATACATTATTAAAAAAATCACTATTAAATTGCGAACATTTCTGACCGTAGTACCTAAAGATATGATGTACGGGAACGATTTTTAACATTTTCAAAAATATGTCTCTTACCACTTAACTAAGAGACATAGAATTTTTTTCTTATTTTTACCAGAACAGGTATGGGTTGGCTTTTCACCCGGTGCCCGCTTGACGTTGAGTTTCGGGACATTCTGTATACTCAAAACGCCAAGATCGCTAGCTGCTGGAATTGCAATAGAATAAAGAATCATATACAGTCAAAACGTCGACGTCGCCTGCTGCCGAGACATTGGAGTTGATATGATATCGACACAAACCTGGTCAACGCTATAATAAAGGTTTTCACTTCTATTAATGTTGTTGGCCTGTTGTTCCTGATTTTTAGTTTATTTCACTCAAAGATCATTTCCCAAGTTTCTTGCATTATCCATGGTTTCTTTGGTTGATCTTTATTAGAATTTACAGATGCGGTAGCGAGCTTAATAGCGTGTTTCATTTCTGTTCAACGTTCATCAGAGTTTGATCGAGCTTTTTGTGGCGATATTTTGTCAAGATTATTTCTAACTGCATATTAAAAAGCTGCTTTTTCATCATAATACCAAGGGTTGGGTTTTGGAGAGCGGCATTTGTTGCTCTGTAGTTTGAGACAGATTCCTGTGGCTAAAGTAGCAGATTTTTCCATGTACTCTTGATAAGAACGTAGTAAATTTGATTGCGTATGTCATCAGGCGATCTCCAGTATTCATTTTCCTGATATGATGTTGAAAATAATAAACTTCATTCTCCATCCAGAATTCGATGGCCATTTGACCACGTTCATTTCTTTGTCCTATGCCGTATTTTCCTACTATTGTGCGTAGATGTGTTTCAAAATAATTAAAAGTTAAAACCATAAAAGTTGTCTATTTCATTTTTGGGGGCATAAATTTGTATTGGAATTAGGTTGATCAGTTTGTTTCATGCACGTTACCAGAAGCAATGTAAGGACATAAATGCAGCAAAAACATTTTAGTACATACCGACTAAATACATAAAAAAAGATAACTTTGGCTCTTTGAAATAGTTATATCACTTCGCAGAAAATCAAGACCAAACAACTAACAATAAGTTAAAAAACTACAAACAGCAAATAAAACTAACAAATAAAATTATTACTGGAAAAGGTGTACTATTTTCCTTAACATTTTTTTTTTAATTATCATGATTATTTAGAAATCTCTTAGACTTTATCTGTTTCTAATAACATTATGGTGTAATATTTGACTACCTTATAGGATTATACTTGGGTTATAGACTTTATAATCCTTTCTTGAGATATTTGTTATTAAAAATGTCTTTCTTGTTTTTGTTATTTTTAGGTGATTTTGTTAATGTTATCGACTTATGCAGTATTTTTATTAGTTATTCAAATACTGTATCTATGGATTATTATGAAAAGTATGTAGAAATGATATTAAAAAAATATTTCGTGAAAATTGCCCCTAAAAAAAATTTGATTTTTTAGGCAGTACATTAAACCAGCTCGTCCAGACTTAATCCATTTGAACAAAAAGGGGTTTATGATGTTAAGGTTTATGTTGGATACACATTTTTTAGAGGCCAATATCAACAATCTTATGAAACCTTTGAAGAAGAAATTATTTCCAGATAATAGCTTTTAAATCAAAATTGACATAAATGAAAATTTAAAGAATAATTTTTTATTTGTTTGTTGACAAAGAATGTTCTATTTCAGTTACTTATTAAAATTTTATTCTGTTTCTTAAATGAAACAATTAACCATTTTTTTAAAAATATTTTAATCACATTAATTTTACTCTTTCTTTATGGTAGAAAGAACTTTTAGTAAATTCCTACTACACAAATCCAAAGGAGTTTGTTTTTCCACATTTACACCATCCAAATCTCCTCCATTTTCTACTAATAATTTTGCCACTTCTTGTCTATCTTCTTCACAAGCCAAATGCAAAGGTGAGTTTCCGTAAGAATCTTTTGGATTTATTTTCAAACGTTTGTCCTCTCTAAATTTTAAGAGAACTTGGATAACTGAAAGATTTCCTTTTGAAGCTGCTCTATGTAATGGTGTTGCCCCTCTGATATCAGAAATATTTATATCAGCAGAGTGTTCTAACAAAACTTCAACGATCTATAAAGAAAGATATTATTTTTGATTAATGTTCGTTTTTATTATTTATTACTTCTTCCCATCCTTTCGAACAAGCATATTGTAAAGCGGAGTGTCCTTGATTCGTTTTATGATTTACATCCGCTTTATTTGATATTAAAAACTTAACAATTTCAACTCGACCAGCGGAAGCGGCTAAAATTAACGGCGTTGAATCGGTATCATCATCTGGATCGATCGGGCTATTCTTTTCGATTAGATATTCGACTAACTTTAAGTTTCCACTGAGACAAGCCCAGTGCAATAAAACTCTCCCATTCTAAAACAGATTATTTGAGGTTAAGTTTGTGTATATTTGGTAATTTAGTAAACAAAGCTTTTTTTGGGCAATAAATTAAACATACATCATCTTGTTTAAGTACTAATAACGGATTATCTTCGACCGCAACTCGAATTACCTCAAAATCACCTTTATGGGCCGATTCGTAAACGGAAATTTGACTCGTCATTTTTAAAATGTCAATGAATGTTTAAATTTGACGTTTTGATATAGTTCCGACATCTATCGGTTATTTTTAAATTATAAATGTAAACAATATATTTTATATTGTTATAAATTTATAAATAATTTTTTGAAAAGATAAAATCGTTTAAAAAAATATCTTTTTATATGGTTTTGATGTAAAATATAATAAGGAAAATGTGGGATACTTATGAACCTCATTTAGGGACAAAAAGATTACTTTTTTAAATCTTGCTGCGTAATAGCATAGAATAACTAATTCTGTGGTAATAGTTTTTGCAGATTGTAACTCTCTATTTTGGTTCTTTATATTTCGCATTTGCTTTGCATTCAGTTTCTTGGCTACCCCAGAGAACTGTTTCTGACTTTCCCTCAACTTCTTTCCAAACTTTCCATTTATTCCTTTTTTCTATGTTATCTAGTCGTTTACCATTCCGTTCCAGCTTATTCCATTTAACATTGAGATTCCAGTGTTCTCTTTGCTTCTACTTCTTGCTCTTCGAGGTTTCTTAACTTTCTATTCAGTTTGTTTGAACTACGTGTTTCCTATTAGTAGTTGGTTACTAATGCAAAAATCTATCATTTTGTTGCTTGCGATTCCGTTGTTCCAAATTACTAAGTAGTTAGCTAGCTAGAAAAAATACTTTATCTGACACAAAATGTATTTGATTTAGTATTAAGTTTTATATATTACGAGCCCTAACAACTATATATTGGAACAAAATAAAATTTATATATAATTAACAACAATTATACAGATTATTTTGCTTTAATAAATTTTTCAAATGAATATCATTTGATTAGATAATTAACAACAATTTTGTCTAATGAACAACACAAAAAACTAAATACATATCCTATTACATCTAATTAAACTAGAAAAATGTACATTTTACCTGACAACAGCACGATTTGTATTTGTAATATGGAGTAACATCGCCCTTAGATTTTATAACCGGTTAAATTCGGTTGGGCATTGAATTCACTAAGGTTCTGCACTGTTCAGGAGTAAATCCATCCCAAATTTGTTTTATTTTGGCTTTAAGTTCTGGCAATGTCCGTTGTGGGTTGTTCCTCAAAGTTTGTTTCATTTTGTACCACACTGTTTCAATTACATTCAGATCTGGACTGTTGGAAGGCCAAGAAAGGACATTAATATTTTGATCGCCAAATCACTTTTTTATAGTTTTGGCCGTATGACAAGCCGCTCCATCCTGCTGAAATATGTAATTTTCGCCAACATTTAACTTCACGATAGGTAGTAAGCTGTTTTGTAGTATTTGCTGATATTTTGCGGCGTTGACGGTGCCATCAATAAATTCAAAGCATTTTAATCCTGAAGCTGTCATACAGCCCCAAATCATTACTCCCTTCGGAAATTTTACACAACGTTTTAAATAATCTTTATGAAATGCCTCATGTTTATTGCGTTGTTACACATATGTACATCAAATTTCGACTCATCGCTGAATATTACCCTGGACCAATCTTCTGCTGACCAAGAGAGTTTAGATTTTGCCCATGTAAGCCTGGCTTTCTTTTGTTTTTCTGTTAACAGTGGTTTTTCTTTTGCTTATAAAACAACCATTTTTTAAATGCTGCTTTTTTAAATTATTACTTGTAAGTAAACCTAGTAAAACTTTAATCCACTTTTAAGAATCCATTTGCGACAGCATTCCCTTGATAAATTTAATCCAGTTTCATTATTCCATTCAGCAGTAACTTGTCTTAAAGTATTTCTTGGTCCTTTTTTGCAGATTTTTACAAGTATTCTTTTATTTCTATCAGAAACTAACTTTGGCCGACCTGAACTTTTACCCTTTTTTCTAAAATTTGCTCAGTTTCTCCATAATGTTTGATTACATTCCACACTGTGCTTTTAGGAATATTAAGTTCGTCTGCAATTTCACGTATTGTTTTATTGTGGCAATAATTTTTAATTACTAATTCACGGATTTTTGAACCTGTAGAGATACCACGCACCATTTTAATTGATAAATAGAGATTTATTCAACAGCAACAATGTTACAAGCTTTGGAACAAACCGGCAATTTGACATTTCATTTTACGTTGTTTTCACAGTTTACTTATCTTAATTTGTTCCATTTTTATGGAAGTTACTTAACACTGTCCCAATATTAAGTTGTTAGGTAAAATGTACATTTTTCTAGTTTAATTAGAATTAATAGGATATGTATTTTGTTTTTTGTGTTGTTCATTAGACAAAATTGTTGCTAATTATCTATTCAAATGATATTAATCTAAAAAAATATTAAAACAAAATAAACTGTCCCAATATATAGTTGTTAGGGCTCGTAATATAAAATTATGAAAGGGAGGGCTAAAATATGAATTTAGATTCTAAAAAAATCATGTTAATTATTTTAGTCGATAATTTTTAGCGAATAATGTCGAGAAAAACGGGATTTTCGTTTTCATCTCTTTAAAAATATAAGATTTCTCAGAATAGACAGGCTCTACTACAACTATTGGAAATTGCTTGGTGTCTGTCCATTTTTATCACAGAAGACTGATGACTGCTATCACAAGCACAGAAGCCGCTAAATAAAAAGAAAGTGCGGAAAAGTGACTAACACTAGATTAACTTCAGTTATAAAACTTCTATTATATGATAACTAACTTCAGGTTTAAAATGTCAACCTCAATTTCCACATATTTGTAATCTTCGTTAAAAATCCTTTAAAATGAGTACAAACACAACATATTTGTCTTCAATATTAATGAAATTATGGTCAACTTCCGGTTAAGAATGTCAACGTCAATTTTGGCATATTTGTAATCGTCGTGAAAATTCCTTTAAAATGAGTCCAAACATCATACGTTTAATTTCAATTTTACTGGAGGTATAAGCAACTTCCGGTTTGAAATGTCAATGTCATTTTGACATATTCTTAATTTTTATAAAATGTCTTAATATTTGTCACAAAAACAAAAATATAATAATAAAAAATTGCTATCTTCATTGTTGCTAACTTAGGATTTAATGTTTTTTATTCTAACTTTTTGTTTTTTGAGATAAGTGCGTCTTGTTTGGATTGATTTTAAAGGTTTTTTTCATAAAGAATACATCATGAAAGAACAGCATGAAGTTGTCCATTTGTCTATTATATGATAACTAACATCAGGTTTAAAATGTCAACCTCAATTTTGACATATTTATAATATTCATTAAAAATCCTTTAAAATGAGTCCAAACATCATACGTTTAATTCCAATATTACTCGAGCTATAAGCAACTTCCGGTTTTAAATGTCAACGTAATTTTGATATACATATTCTTAATTTTTATAAAATGTCTTAATATTTGTCACAAAAACAAAAATATAATAATAAAAAATTGCTATCTTCATTGTTGCTAACTTAAGATTTAATGTTTTTTATTCTAGCTTTTTTGAGATAAGTGCGTCTTGTTTGGATTTATTTTAAAAGTTTTTTTAATAAAGAATACATCATCAAAGAACGGCATGAAGTTGTCCATTTGTCTATTATATGATAACTAACTTCAGGTTTAAAATGTCAACCTTAATGTTGACATATTTATAATCGTCGTGAAAAATCCTTTAAAATGAGTCCAAACATCATACGTTTAATTCCAATATTACTCGAGATATAAGCAACTTCCGGTTTGAAATGTCAATGTCATTTTGACATATTCTTAATTTTTATAAAATGTCTTAATATTTGTCACAAAAACAAAAATATAATAAAAAAAAATAAAAAATTAAGGTTGGTATTAATATTTAAAAATTAAATTGCTATCTTCATTGTTGCTAACTTCGGGTTTAATGTTTTTTATTCTAACTTTTTTGTTTTTTGAGATAAGTGCGTCATCTTTGGACTCATTTTAAAGGTTTTTTAATGAAGATGACAAATATGTCAAAATTGACGTTGACGTTTCAAACCGGAAGTGATTGTATTTCCATTAATATTAAAGTTAAATATGTCGAGTTTGGACTCATTTTAAAGGATTTTTTATGAAGTTGATAAGTATGTCAAAATTAAAAGTTGAAATTTCGAAATTTTTGGTTTTATGAGATAAATACGTCAAGTTTGGACTCACTTTAAAGGTTATTTTATGAAGATTACGAATATAATAATAAAATGAAAGTTGACATTGACAACTGAAAGTTTTTTCACGACTAAACCCGAATGTTTCTAGTTCTCGTTCTAGGTTTAGTTCAATAAAAATATGCAACATAGTGATATCTTATGCTAAGGAGCGCTACCTACCGCTGTCGTTTGTAAAATGGATAAGATGAGAGATGTTAATCTATTTGTAGAGTCGCTGAAGAATGGCCAAGGGCGGAAACTAGTTAGACTTAAATTCTATGTAAAATAAAAGACAAACTTTTAATTTTATACTAACATCTAGAAAACGACACTGGTCCGAAATTGTAGGTTCATCTATTTTTTCTATTGTAGAATTTCTTGGTGTATCTAAGTGTCGTATGATGCAAATCGAACTTGAAATCGTATAACGTGATTGGCGCCTAGCTTTATCCTTTAAAACAAATAGTACTTTAGGTCTTTCGGTATTCTGCATTTTTTTCTAAGATAAGTTACACCTTTACCTACCAAACAGCATGAAAATCTGTAAAAACGATAAAATGTCGCTTAGTCAAGTGATGTATAACGCGGTCCAATTTAAAGTTGGTTAGCTATGTAAATTAAACATTATTATTGTAGAGTTTAGTGTTTAAAAATGAGTCATAATATATTGCATACGTATCTTAATAACAACCGCGTCGTGTTGCAGTCTAGTCGGTATTCAGTTAAAACGTAAATGCAATCAAATAATATCCTTTAAAATAATAACAATCAGCTATCAATTATTTCAAAAGATTTTTAGTAACACTTACTACTAATATCTATTAAGCGAACCCATAATGGACGAAAAAGGACGAAAAATCCCTCTAAGCATTAGTAAGAAACTACTTAATAAATTAAATATACGTACTAGTTGTGACGATTTAGTTATTAGTACATGATGTTTCGTTATTTGTGGCG